TTACAACGTTAAACGTATGGAATTATAACGTCTATTAGCACATCGGCGATTGATCGTTACTTAGGGTTAATGATCGGTAAGAGATCTGCAGACAAACAAGACTATATTGACCGACTCATGCAACCTATGGTTACGTGACTTTGCATACTAATAGCTACGATTTTAACGTTTCTAACAAACTATATATGTTGGGAGTATTTGCTTAGTAGCATCAGGTGATATGAAGCGATTTTGTTGGTGAATCAGAATTGTAGGCAAATTTGCCGACAATACAGTTTAAGGGATAGTATATTCGATCATAACAGTTGTTACAGAATATCGAGTATTAATATCAAACACTATACGTAATAGATTAGCGGACTTTCTATAGTAACTACGTGATGAATTTGACGGTCACCGCTTCAGTAAGCTAATGAGAACAATATTTACTTAAATACTGAATATGAAGTGTTAGGTAACAAACTTAAAACTGAATTCAAGCAAATATTCGATCTAAGGACTACTTAAAACCAATTTATTAAGAATTGGCCCTAATTTTTTAACTTTGCCTATGGCCACTGGTTTGATTTTTAGGAATAGAAAAAATTGACTATATTCATTTAAACTGGTTTTAAACAAGTAATTATAATGTCTCAAGTTTATCTGACAAATGCACAAACGTTTTGATAAAATACTCATGCTTTTTGTAAATCCAAAGGAGGAAGGATTAGTGCCAGGATGGAAAAAGACTGAATTTTTTTGTCGATTTCAGAAACAAATGCTTTTCTGCATTTCATAAATTAAATTCAGTACAAGACCATTGGCAACCAGCTGAGCCTTGACACTCCAGGTCGAGTTGCTTCAAATACAAAATTAAAAAAATTTCCAACACAGAGAAGTACTGAAAATGTTCTCATTGTCAGAATGCTGGACTTTGTTTAATGCAGCAGCTGTACTTGATTTTTCACGATATGATCTATGCAGTCTACCGCCGTCTTTTGGTATAATTTCTTAATCGATCCAAAAACGCCATCACACTTGAATTTAGTATTAGGTATCATGAAATTTAAATCAATACTTTATAATAACCGCAAATTATCAAACACAAATAGAATCAAAATAGAGGTATAATTTTTATTCTGACCACCCGCGCGTTGTCTTTCAATCTCTTAATTCCATCGAATACATGCAACATACCATTTACCATTATAATTCTGTAATTAGGACGTTTGCCTATTATTTGTCCAAGTCGGGGGAGACGTGAATCGTATACGAAATCAACAAAAATATTAGCATCTCACATGAATAGTCCGTCATTTTTTACGAATCATAAATGCTACCAAGAAACCTTTTCGTTTTGGACGACAATTCATGTGTGATATGCGCATCTTCGATTGACCTCTTTATAGAACTTCTAAAAAGATGTAATTTTCAACGTGTTTACAAAATACCAATTTCAGAGATATTTAAAAAAGCTTGTAAGTGCTAGCTACGATATGTTATGAGTATTATTATATGATCTAAATTTTTAAACAACTCACTTGCGCCAATATTTAAAATATTTGTGTTTATGTTAGGTGATGTTAGATCATCATGACGATCACCGAAAAACCCTCATTAAGAGGCAAACAAGCAAAGCTATTGGCGAGTAATATAGAGCTGCAAGAATCAAGAAATGTGGAAAGTATGTATATTATATGGAATGGACATGAATTAATGAGAGCAGTAATTTCATTTCTCGACCGAATGTAGAATTGGAACTAACAAGATGGCCAACGAAGCGAAGACAACTTAAATTGAGGTTACTATCTCATCGTCTGCTCGCTCAGCATGTCATCGACCCCGTAAGCCTAACGATCTATTCTTTTTCAAGATACACGCCTTGTGACTTGCCGGATTATGACGAGCCAAACATTTCTGAACTTTCATCGATTGTCAACACATCAGCCATATCACCATTAGTGAATATTGCTCTCATGCCTTCGACAAAGCGGCGAAAGGCGGTTCCGCATCATAACACGTTTTCTTACGACATTGATACAGATTGTGCCCTGGCTGTTGAGATTCGAACACTCATAGATCGCATTCAATTCGACAGCAGATCTCGTTTAATAGAGAAAGGATATCTGGAGATATTTATCAAAGATCAGTTGGGGAAATTATTGGATGTCCTAGGACTGCTGTTTAAACATGCTTCAAGTGAGCAGATGAAAGTTGCTTACGCAAAGAATGACAAAGGAATTTCATAGTTGATCTAACAATATCTGATCGACTGTAGCGCTACGGTCTGTCGAACGGCATCGGATAAACCATCTACCATATAATTCTCTTGCTTCAACGTCACAAATGCCATCTCAAAGCGTTTCCTTGGTACGTCCAGACGACGATGAACAGACAAGACAAGTTTTACGCAATCATACAGAGCAAGTAATCCAGCCGCAACCGTCTAACAGGGAAACCAGTCAGGTAGTCATTACGTGGGAACATGTTTTATACGCAGCTCAAGCCATAGGGTTGCCAGACAATGTGATAGAGGCTACTTATGAGAAAATAGCCCCGAAATTTGATCCGGGAAGGAACTTTCTAGGTGAGTTGAAGTATTTAAATGACAATCTCTTTCTAATTTTTACATCTTTTAAATTCGATTGTTTATTACCAGGACTTGAGAGTTCAAAGTTTCAAAGCATCATCGAAGAAGCTGATAATTATATGAGATAATTGTGCTCTTGATAATACACGTGATTACGTTTGAAAGTTGTAGATTAGCTTATTCAATTAAAAAACCGGATAGAGATCTGCCGTTCAAATATGATAAAACGAACACTAATATTAGCTACCACCAAAACAATCAATAATATAGAATATATGTACCCTTTTATACACACCGAGTTACAATCTCATTCACAGATACTTTTTGACAGCATCATCAACTTCATTACCCACTTGTACGGGGGCACCCCAACCACCCCCACCCGGCGTACAGATAACAATTCTGTCCCCAGCGTTGACTTTCACTGTATTCTTTCCACCCAAGTTCAAAACTCTGCTGCTACCATCTCCTTCTTTTCGAATCAAGAGATTTAAACCTCGTGCACCAAACTTGCCATGGTTTAGACCATATGGATAATAGACACGGCGTTCTGATAGAATGCTCACTTGAAGCGGTTCACGGAATTCTAAATCACGAATTACTCCGTTGCCACCATTATAGAGTCCTGCACCACCAGAACCTGTCGAGGAAGAGAGTTATTGAATGATGAAATGAGCTGAGAATATGTTCAAAGTTGTGAAATTTCCAACCTCTGCGCAGAGAGAATTCGCGGAGTACCACGGAATGATCGTAACGTCTTTCTAAAATTTCTGGATCTGTGATTCTGGTATTGGTCATGTGCTAATCTCCCCCCCAAAAAAAACCACAAATTAGCTTCAAATTCACTGTATTCCTTGAAATATTTGCAGAGTCATACCGTATGAACACCACTTTGTCCATGCCAAGTAGGCCCAGCTCCGCTACCTGATCAACATACAAAATGTTAGATCGTACACTTGGACAGATTTCTATTCATGCCCACTCCCATCCCCCTTCTCTCTTTCTCTCTCCCTCCTTCTCCAACGATTACCTCCGGCAATAGTTTCATAATATCCCCAGCCTTCCAGAACTTTCCCACTCTCGTCAACTTTTCCACCTTTGCCAAAGGTCAAATTATTGCAATCACCCTGACTAGCGGCACAAGCCCCAAACGCCTTAAGAATTACATCCACAACACGCTGTGAAGTGAGCACGTTCCCGCCAACTACAGCAGCTTTCTCTGACGGATTCAGGAAAGAATTAGATGGGATGCGAACTGTTATCGGTGCAAGACACCCTTGATTGAGTGGGATATCATTTGCAATTAAGCAACGGAGGCAATATATTATTGCACTATGCGTCACCTTAAAATTTAGGGAATGCGAAATGTTAACATGTAAAAAGGTGACGAATATATTGATAGAAAGTGATCTGTCTGGAAGACTTACCGCCGGCGGAGCATTCGTGTTTCCTAGATCACAGCAATTTTTTTGAAGAGATAAATCCAATTAGTACGATTCTAACTTTGTTATGACACAGACTCTTCATCTTACCGTAGACTTCTGGTCCGGTTCCATGGAAATCAAACACAGCCGTTCCATCTTCCTCATTAACCGTGATTTCCAAACATATAGGCGATCCATCGTCCATATAATCCACAGCCTTTAACGAACATCCACCAACTTTTCTTGAAATTCCCTTCAACAAATATCTAACAGACAATTCTGCATTCTTTCTTATATACGCCATATAAGCTTGCACGACATCCAAACCGTATTCTTTGATTAACGATTTTACTAACGTGATTCCTTTATGATTCGCCGCCACTTGGGCTTTGAGATCCGAAATATTATCAGCGAGACACCTAGTTCCGCTACATCCTGGGTATTGTGCTGGTCGATGAAGAAGTATGTCAGTCAATCCAGCTTCATCAAATTTGCCTTTTGACACGAGCTTAAATGATTTAACTGCTGCTCCTTCTTGATAGAGCTCTTTGGAATTGGGTGGCATTGATCCGGGAAGTATGCCGCCAATGTCAGCGTGATGGCCACGGGAGGCGACGAAGAAGACTATCTCGTCATTGTTAAAGACAGGCGTGATTACTGTTATATCTGGTAAATGCGACCCACCAGCCTGTGGATGATTTGTTAGGATAACATCACCATCTTCAAGACCATCTTTGTAATGTTCCATTTGATACATTACTGCTTGACTCATACTTCCTAGATGGACCGGGATATGCGGCGCGTTAGCAATTAGACCACCATCTGGCCCAAACAAGGCACACGAGAAATCGAGCCTTTCTTTGATATTGGTTGATATTGCCGTTTTCTGTAATGTCACTCCCATTTGCTCTGCGATACTCATGAAACGATGACCAAAAATAGATAACTGAATAGGATCTAGTTCTGTAGTGACTTTGGCTCGAGTTCCATCACCAACCGTAATATAGACATGTGAAGAGGTTATCAGGGCGTTACAGCCAGGAATCACGACTATTGTCGAGTTTACGTCAATGATCATTGCTGGTCCGGGGATACGATCGCCAATTCGGAGATTCTCCAAAAGATATATCGGCGTGTCTGAGCGACCACTTTCAAAATAAACGGATTTCGACCCGCTCTTTTGATTATCATCGACCAATTTAGGTGCAATCTGCTTTATCTCTTCGAATACGTTCTCGTGTGGTATTTCATTGCCTTTCCCAACGCCACGAATACGTATATCATCAACAATAATGTCTCGGTTAGGCAACGTAAAGCCAAATTCCAGGTGATAGGTTTCCGTAAATACACTTGCGAAATCCCACGAATCGTTTGGTTTCAGCGTCATTATCGCGAAATCCGTTCCATTGTATCTTAAATTTAAATAAATCTCATGGTATATCCTATTATCATCAAAACCTTGTCTGCGTAACTCTTTGGTGCAGTTCTCTATAAGAACCTGCACACGTTCTTTAAGATACGGCAAGGAGTCGCTATTTAGTGCTTTTGCGCAAGGCTCTTGAACCTCATGAACCACATCGGCCAGAGAAAGACCATAGGCAGAGAGGACTGAACTGTATCGATGTACGAGGATTTTGCGAATACCGAGATTACGCGCGATAGAACACGCGTGCTGCCCTCCAGCACCACCGAAGCAGGTTAAAATGTGGCTGGAAGTGTCGTGACCTTTAGCCTCCGTTAGATTACGAATTGGACGACACATGGCTTCGTTCGCAATTTTGATAAACCTACAGAAACGAGCAAGATTTGAATAGGACGAAAAAAATATGTATGCAAAAAATCTATTGATTGGACTGACTCGAATCATTACCCAAAGGCTATTTCATCAATAGTCATATACTTATCAGGACTAACAGAAAGATTTATTTCATTGAGAAGTTCTTCAAAGCGTTCCTGCGTAGCTTTTACGTCTAAAGGCTGATCCTCGTTAGGACCAAAAATTTTTGGAAAATAATCAGGAACCAGTCTACCGAGAATTAGATTTGCATCTGTGACCGTCAATGGACCATTTTTCCTGAGTTTAAAGAATATTAGCATCCGCAAGTACAGGATAGATGACAAAACAGATTTCAGTGACGTCTACCTATAGCAAGTTGGACCCGGGTGAGCTCCGGCACTCTTGCGAATTGAGAAATAATGTTAACGCGCTTTGATTTAATTCGGCGTGACAATAAACACGCATTTTAGCAAACCAATGTGCATACTTCTGGTCCGACAACAAACATGCCATTACGGAAAAAAAGACGAGAACCACCGCCGGCAGCGACCTGAACGGTTTATAATTTCAGTATACATCGAAATGTACGGTAAATATATTCGTTACGTGTACCGTGTGAATGTCCAATTGAGGCGCTTGGATTGTTACGCCAGCTGTAGTTGTTTCAAAGACGTGTTCTAACCTTCCATCAAATCGTGACACGTCTTGAATGAAGAAAGAAGAACAACCCCACCGTTTAAGCATAAAAAGATTACAGCAAGATTATAATCACGACATTTCGGAATAAATTTCTTTACCAGTGCTCGTGCCTCCCATATCAAATCCAATTACTGGAATTTTTTCAACCTTGCTGTAGGATGTCAAAGCATGACCTATTTCGATTAATCAAAGAGTTTAGTCATCTTCAAACCAATCCTCATATTTGCATATGTTGTTTGCCCAAGCTCTTTCTGCTCCATATCCAATTGTTAAGTACAAACCGACGACTCCGGCAGCGGGTCCAGACAATATAGCCCGGAATCCAGAAAACTTGTCTACTGGAACCAGACCTCCATCACTCTGCATGAATTCCAGCCTAGTATTTTTCTCCAGATTTTCGTCAAAACCGGAAACAAATCCATTCACATACTTCTTGATACACGGAGTTAAGTACGCGTCTGCCGTGGACGATGTACCGCGAGGTACAATCTTTATCATTGGCATTATTGATGACGACAAGGAAATGTGCGTGAAACCAATCGTAGATGCAAGCTCGCCTATAACACGTTCGTGGGCTATGATATGAGTAGAAAACTTGAGCTCAAATGTGTAATTTCGATATGTTGACAACCAATGCTCGCAGAATAATACGGTTACCTTGGAATGTATATGAGTGTACAAGACAGATTGCAAGGCTCCTAAAGCCGTCATCAAAGAGATCCTGCAAGTCCTTCTTTACTTGCTCATGATCTTTATGGGACAGCGTTCAGCAATAAATAAGAGAAATGTTTCTGTACGATACGTATGAAACAAGTCATAGTACCTGGTTTCTTTAAAATTTTGATATATTCTCCTGTTAAACCCTGTACTATATCCGTCGAATTTCCATTAAAGGCTTCATCTCCCACAAGACTCACGCTATAATAATATTTATTAATTAAACCATTATACATAGCCTTTGGCCACTTTCTTCAAGTGATGCATACCGTTCATCAACTTCAACTACTTTCTCATACAATACGCTCGGCTTTTGAATCGCAAGATCGAATATTTTGGGGCGAGATTGATTTCCTGTTAAGAACGAATGAAAGCAAATATATGTTTAAAAAAAACTGAATATGGCAAATCTCGTAGAGTCTTTTCTGTTCTTACCAATCAACAGTAGATCCTATAGTATTAAGATGCAAACCAAAGCAATCAGTAATTGATTGAGACATTTTTCATGGAATGGCAATCAGAGACCTACCTTGAATCCTTTCGTAATCAACAATGCACACTTTTCCCCTTTTCGTTCCAACAGTGCATTAGTCGCGACAGTTGTTCCCATGCGAATAGACTCTACATAAAGGTCAGAATCAGTAATCAGGCATTCCCGCATGACATCATACAAGCATGTTACCAACATACCAATCAGGGAAGTATCGATTGGATGATTTCTTGGATGTTTCCTGCCCGTAGCGATTTCCAAAATTCTTCGGATTCCTTCTCGTGGTGCATCAGGATAGTTCTGCGGGTCTACACTCAATAACTTTACAACCACCTCTTTTCGACCGGACGGATGTTCATCTGACGGTATGCTGCCAATACAATCGGTAAATGTTCCACCGCGGTCGATGCTTATTCTTATGCCTCTTTGTGACATCGTTTCAATGCACGTTTTGTTTGCTCATATGAAAACCTTATCATGACAAAGTTGGGGCTTTATGGTCATCTTCCGACCCAGTAGTTCGGATCCGACAATGGGATTGGTTTGGGGCGCTTTTTCTCGAATTCGTAATAAAAAAAAAAAAGAGTCGCAATGAAAACATTCTGTGTCAATGTTGATATATGGTACCTATATTTAGTAGGGATCGGTATACATCAAATGCACAAGTTTATATATATCATAGCGCGAAACTTTGGCGAAGTAACTCGATATATTGATTTCATCATTCAGCTCAGGTGATTATAATTAATCAGAATCGAGAGTTTGTTGCTTCGATAATCTCAGTAGAGCGTTAAAGTTTGAGCAGAGATGAGAGTTGCAAGTTTAATTACCAATATAAAGTGCTAATACTAAACAAAGCAAGTGATTTGCATGCTTATAAAACTACTAATACATAATAATTATAATAATTACGTTTCACGCAAAAGTTATTATGTCCAGCGCGATACACAGTATGCTTATATAATAGACATTATTTGGGTTTAAAAAACGTATCAGCGTAAATTTGTTAAGCGGACAAAAATGTTTTACTTGTCGAAAATTTCACCTTACAATGTAAATTTTTATATTGTTTGGCGCTATCAAGTAATACTCAAAAATTACTTTAGACCTTTTTTTAAAGGCGTGCAATAATTTGTCTCTAATTACAAAAAGATTAGAATGCGTAGGACCGATGCAACCGTAATAAGTCTAGATGTTAGCATCTGGCACCAGCGATCTTTTCTGGGAATGAATTTTGTAGGATATTTAATGCAAGGCATTCGAGAGATGAGATGTTAGCATACATAGCGAGGAGTATAACCGGATAAGTTTTTATATACTTGACTAATTTTTATATACTAATACCACACTCCTCGCGACTAACAAAACCAATTTCGGATTTGGTGATCGGTTCGTTCATTAATTGATTATTTCCGCTCGGAATCACTCAATATTTACTATTACTATTACAGGAATCCTGACTACCCTGACTGTTTTGCCGGCTGGAACGCCATAGCCTCCTACGGTGCTATGGTTTCTCTCGTGGCCACATTCCTCTTCCTACATCCTCTTCGATCAACTAACTTCGAAGACTCGGTATAACTGCTGTTTTTGTCGTATACCAGGTTATAGAAGACGAACCCTGGATTTCAAAAGAAGAATCGAGAACAATAGTCCAGAATGCTATTAATTCTTCACTAAATTATATTCTCAAAGTACGTTAACCCAAAATAAGCTTCTCAAGATTCTGCCCAGGTTAGTTATTAGTTTTTTAAAATAAGTTTTATTATAAATCGAATGATTAAGGCGCAAATATTGGTTCATCTCTGAGAAAGTGAGCATAACAGTTTAGACATTCTAGTAGTCCGCAAGTAGGGGAGAGCATGACTTCCGTAAGTCTCACTCTTATTTGATAAGACTTGTATTATATGAAATGGCGAATCAGAAATGGTGATAAAAATCCTCGTCAAGCTCCTTATTCTCGTGATGGTACCTCTGTGGTTAAGTTGTGTTTGTAAGAGAGATTATTTATCTTTGAAACATGAAATGTCTTATATAATCTCAGAGATCACTAAATTCTATATATTTGGATGTTTTTTTTTCTTATGACCTGTACATATCTTTTTATTTAGGCAAAATTAGCTGAGGTGTATCAGAAATCTACCGAGACATATCAAACCGTCAGTATTTATCAATCCAATGCATGTTATAGAATTGATTTATTAACAATTGTTACTTATATAGTTGATAGAAAGCGGTGAATATCAAGAAAACCTCAAAAATGTTCAGGATAATATAAAAACGACAGTAAATAATTTGGTAAGTGATATCTTTATAATAATGTATTAATGTTTTACTCAATATTGTTTTTATAAATATTAATATCTACATTTATAGGATCGAGCTATCTCGAGTATCTCTAATGAGCCAAACGAATATATCGCGCTTAACACCTTTCGCACGATACTCAATGAACTGCTCGACAATATAGTAACGGTAAATCCTATATGGCTCATCGCATCCGGGATTCTCGATACGAGCGGAGCTGATAATATCTGGTCGAGAATGATAGCGAGTAACGACGCAGTTTATTGCCTTAGCGAAATACCGAATCAATCACATTTTGTGAGGCGATAGGTACAATGTGTCAGCAATTAATGAATAATGCCAATCTATCGACCAGTTATAATAAGCACAGTTTATCGAACGGGTTAAAAAAATAAGACCTGTTAATATGCCGGTCATCGACTGGGAGTCTAATGACCAGGAATCACAGGCCTATGCGGCGCATACCCTTCTAGAGAGTTTGTAAGTTGAAAATTTTTATTCTTTTTGAATAATATAACCATGCAGCTTATTAACAGTTATTTTTTAGACGTCACATTTGGGCTAGGGTATTACAAGGTGAAGCCCGAACTATAATGAGGGAACGTATGTAAATATAATAATTTCACGTCTCTTTGAAGGTTTTCAATATGGAGAGACGCTTTTTGATACGAGATGGTAAATATAATAGATATATTGTCTTCTTCTTTTAAGGAATTTTTAACAATTTTTTTTAATAATGTGTTTAGGGCCGAAGAAAAGAGTAAAGCAACCTCAAACCGTGAAAAAATTCGTAAGCCCGATATGCGTATCGTATTGGCTTTACCACATCCCAAAAAGGCGGAACCTTTGAAACGTTATTTCTAGAATGCTCACACCCTGTGGCAGACGTTTCATCTCAGATTGGGTAAAATTAGCGCGTATGGGTAAAGAAGATCCAAATCTCGGGCTAAATCTGTATTATGTAATAAGCTCCTTGAGAGCGACTCTTCGAGTCATGCTCCGCTCTCGCCTATTAGCTACTACTTAGATAAATCTATCTTTTGTTATCATCTCTGGAAGAGATATGTTCGAGTAGTTTTTCATAACGCATTTGCAACTTTTCACAAAGATCATTTATTTCAGCTTTAGACTTGAGAGTAGTATATAGCGATTTTTCTAAAATTTCATAGCTCATGCGTTTTTTTTGAAGTCGAATTGTCAGAATCTAAGCTAAAACCCACAGGAGCATGCCATTCCTCCAATGGTTCATTATTACCCTCATTACTATTGGCATCCTGTGAAATTTGATCAGATACCAAAGGCTTATTGCAAAGCAATGGGACTCCGTCCCTATCATTCTGAGATGCAGTAGCACAATTTACTTCGAGTTTATTCTTGACTTTGTGCATAGTAACCGAAATAATAAAATCTTCTCCATTGTAATGAATCTTCATTTTATCATTACCCCAGTCTACAACACATTTATATTTTTTGAGAAGCGGGTTTGGGAATATCAATGTCGGTTTGGGAACTCGAACAACGACAAAATCTTCACGTATAGTAAAACATGGAGGAAAATGTTATTGGTAAATTACGAGTGATGCCGATAGATTCCGTTGGAACAGTAGCAACGCCACTGAGATCATATTTGTCTGATTTATCTATTTTCCCACCTACACGTTTAACAATATCTTCTGATACAATTGCAGGTTCGGCACCACTATCAAGCACTAATACTGGAATTTTTAAGCGTTTTGATTTTAACTGGTATAGTTGCAATACTTGTGTCAGGTTCTTTCCGGCAGACGAAGTCAATCTCCATAGGATCGTCCAGCGTCTCCTCTTCATTATCAGATTCGGGTATCTCTGATATTGGCTCTCGGTAATTTATAAAATCCGGAGTAGTTAAATATTTGTCTTCAGATTTAAGTTTCTCTAACTGATGCGGGAGTAAGACCTTTTCGAGCATGTCTAATAAAATTTGACGAATATTCTGCTCAAGGGTAGTCACTTTATTTCGGGACTTATTGCTTTGCAATGGGGCTCTGCCCTTACTAGAAGTGGAAACATCTTTCTGTTTAGTCTTATGGGATTTGGGCGTTTTCTTAGAAGACGATTTACTCTTTTGCTTTACCTTTTTTTTTGATTTAACAGCATTGGTAATTTTCGAGATTTCAGACTCAGTTAAGTCATTCTCAGAATCGGATTCTGATTCAGAACTAGACCCAGAGTCAGAGCCAGAATTGGAATCATTATCAGAAGAGCTAGCACCAGACTCAGAATCCGAATCTACAGTAGCAAGATTAACCTTACCTTTTTTCTTAGATCTGTTTTTGTTAGAACGTCTGGACTTGCTTTTCTTTTTATTTTTAGGGCAGTTACGAGATTTATGACCAGTTTTGCCACACTCTGAACATTTGTATAATTTTTTAACAGCATGTATTAATTTTGCTTGGTTAATTTCCATTTCCTCAAATTGTAATCTCAAATCTTCAACCGGATCATAGTTCTCTCCAGGTAAACCTGTATCATCCATTAAATTATCTAAAAAACGATTCATAGAAAGTTCATCAGCTTTTCGTTTCCCCGGTCCCGGGGGTTTCTTCAAAGTTTGCTGTCCTTTAGCGATAGTTTCCTTCAAACCCATTAAAAATTTTTTGAAATCATTCTGTGAAAGCGTGATCTGGTTCTCCTGAGGTTTAGAAGAGATAGTTTGTGAGCTTGTGTGGATGCCATGATAGATTTTACGAAGTTTTCTATTTTATTTTTGGTCATACCTGTGTTGCTTGAGTAATTATCTTTACCATGAGATTTAGACTGTGATTGAGAGGTGACTGGATGAGAATTAGGATCGTACTGCCCTAACATCAGTTCCGCCTTCCGTCTTTCAATTTCTTCTAATTTTCGTATTAAGGTAGAAATTGGATGTTCAAGACCAATACGAGTTACTTCTAATTTGTTATCATGCGAAATTCCCTTAAAGAATTGTTGTCTAACTAACTCCTCCTGATTCGCTTCTGCTAATACGGGATAAGCTTGTTTAATCAATCTTTTTAATCTCGAATAAAAACGATTTACTGGATCATTACCCTGGGACAGAGAATGAAATAACAGTTGTGACTTTTCCGCAGTAATAGTAGGGTACTCGC